CTTTGTTTACGTCTGACTGGGAGGGGGCTAGTATGTTTCGAAAGAAAATCACACAATCACAGAAATTTAACCACTTTTTCCCTTTATTAACTTAATTCTTTCATGACACCATAGCAAGTTGCAAACTTTTTGATACATTTAGTCACCTTAGTCATCAACCATATACAAAAAAACCTTCCAAAAACTACTCACTGAGCAGCAAAACATGCATCGGGATACTCCGGGCGGCCATTTTGTTAAAAACATGTCTAGTTGCCATGCGTAACCCTCTCATTCCCACCCCTTTTTACTGAAAGTGGAACAGTCCGTCTGATAGTGATGTAATGGGAACACCAGGAGAAGCAGGGGGATTTCCGCCGCTGGCTCATTTGCATGGCCCTGTGGCCGCGGGTGAACCCGGAGGGCACTCCCCTGCCCATCAACTGTCAGGGCAGCTGGGATAACTTACAAGGGTCCCAAATAGGCCCAGGATTTTGTAGTGATATAATTGTCTACTAGTAGATGTTTATCATAAGTATTGAATATTGTTGCAGTGCATAATATGATGCTGTTATGATGACAAAAAGACAGTCAGCACACGCGTTTTGTCATGTGAGCATGGATGGAAAAGATATCAATTTGCGTAGTTCCAAGCCCCGACGTACTAGCTTTTAGTAGTAGTAATAGGGCCACACCAATTAAATTTGTTATTTCTTGTTTTTCACAAAAAATATGAAGCGACAGAAGCCAGGAGGTCGACATACCAGAATGGTTTCCAATATAGTTTTGAATTTTTCGTCAAACCACTGCATTGATAAATGGCTTTTACTTGTATTGAAGGAATTTCTAACGTTTAGGCATTCTGTAATACATTTATTTTCCCATGTGTACCATGCAGGGTTTGTCACATGTGTACAAAAATACTTAAATTTGCCATTGAGATAAATCCTATTATAGAAGATATGATATTGATAGACTTGTGTATAGTGAATTGCGTATACATGTAACGAAATAGTTGGGAGTCTATACCTAAAGGGGTAATATGTAACATTTTTGCACCAACACTTGAAATCTTTCAATGAAAAGATTTATTATTTGTGATTGTATACGTAAGTTACTTCCACTTTTCAACGTATATTTGTGCAGTTATCTCACATTAATTTCTGACATTTATGGCTGGCGCAAACAATATTTTGGCAGCCACTTACTAAATTTCACTTTTTATATCGTCGTAATTGCTACATGATGCAGCTTTAATAGTAGTTGTGACAACTTACTAGTATAAGAAATGTCCGTTTCGCTTGTAACACTGAAGTCATGTCATCTATATTTTGTAAGTAATCTCCATTTTCGATATCTGTATCTCCTTTCTATGCACTTATTTGGATGATACGGGATTCACTGCTCTTAAGTATGATATACTTTCTAACTATGAATTATTATATCGATGTTAAAGGCATCTAATGCAATTTCAGGACGACAAAACAAAAAAAAATATTTTGGATGGGGAAATCTGTCTGATTTACTGCCATTTCGTGGCACATTTTTGTCATCATTTCATACTTCAAGCGTTTGAAATACTGTAGTCCCAAAACAAGCTACATGAGGTGTCCCTTTATTTTTGGGTACCACCAATAAGTTGCTAAAACCAGTCTACGATACAAATTTTACAAAACATTCAACTGTTTTTTTTTCATCAGTGACATCTTATTTTGCCTCACAGACTATGATGTTGGAAAGTTGTAAAACGTACTACATTAAAAAAAATGCCCAGTAACTTGACGTTAAAATCCAATTCTACTGGCTTGAAATCGCTATTGATTGCCTTTTAATAAGTTTTACGTACTGTTGCCAGTCAAATCGTACAATTCTGCATTGATTGTGTCACAAGTATGAACTCAATAAATGTGCACGTGTGAATATATCTGTGTTTGATAGAAAAATTCATTATCTGCACCAGAAAATCACCCCCTTCGCACCATTCACGCATTCGACCAATCACAGCCAATTATCGCTGATGTGATTAACTACACATAACCGGACCTGTATAGTCATTCATGAGCGAAATATAGCACTTTATGGGACATGAAAGACCGCTATTATGGCGATAAATCAACATGAATGAATGACAACCATTTTTGCCACACTGTTCACATTCTATTATAAAATGGCATTCGTTCTCTATTGTATTCAAATGACAATATGTGATACAAATTATGGAATACATTAGGTTTATATAATAAGGATTCCATATATGTTTTCAACTTGACTGAATTAGAAATGTAGGGCATGCCAGCCGGCTATTAAAAACAGTTTTAAGTCACCGGAGGCCAATAATTTTACAATCTTACAATTCTGCCCTGCCTAGCCATATAGTATTAGTCAAACATTTTGTTAAGCGTGAGATATTTCATCTATTTTAGTACGGAAAATAATACATAACGAAAGCAAATACGTTTGTATTGATTTTATAGTTACATCCCCTTTTTCAAAGCCATATTGTATTTGCGGATGGGGCATGTTGGCAAGTGTTCAACTCAAAGTCGCAATCTTGTACTACTGAGAAGAATATAGTACTAAGGACATTTCACTCGTTTTTTCTATAGATGTATGTTTTACTGGGAATGTTAATTCCTAAAAATAAACGTTGGATTATTAGTTCAATTCCAGTTTATTTTCCCAAAGCACCCAGGAAGTGAACTCAGTGAACTCCAAGAATACCCAATCACGTGAACCATACTTCGGAAGGATCTGAGAGAACTGGTCACCCACACGGAAATAGAACAATGTGCGTCGAAAAATAGTTCTACAAAACGCCACCAAGAAAACTTATCCGTTATCTTTCCGTGACTCTATGTATGAAATGTTCACAAACAAATATTTTTGAGTTATATTATGGAGCTTTTATTAAGTTTAATACTTAACATATCGCAGAAATTCTTTATTTGGTGTTTTGCGGATGGATATTTGCATGGTGACGTAGGTGATGTGCTCCCTTCCTGGGGTTGATACATGGCGGAAGGTGAAAGTTGCTATAGTTTGGACAAAATTTGTGTTGTTATTCTCCAAACTCGGGCGGGCTGCGAACCCCTGTCCAATGCGGCATCGTCTGTGATCCTCTGACGTTCTCCCTGACAGGAAAAGCGAGGGAAAGAGCTGTTTATCTGGCGAGTTTTCGCTCAACATAATTTCTGGCGCAGCCCGACCTAACCGAACTCTCGGGGGTCACGTTTGTGATACTTGTGTGAGACGACAAAGTTTCACAGGTGAGTGTCTGCTCCCAGTTTCTCTCTCTTCTTCCCCCTTGTCTTACAACTCTTCCTGAGTCTTCCAAGATTGGAACCGTAGCTCTAGAGTACCGTCTGGTCCCCGACAAGCTTCTAGAAGCTCGGCGTTTTGGGAGGGTGACACGACGTGTATGTATGATGGCGGCTAGAGCTCGCCCGGACATGATTTTAGTTGGCACCCAGCCGCCGTTCTGTCCTAGCCATATCCGCTCTCCCCTCCCTCACTCAGTCACACAACTATCTCTCCCACTAAAGACAGAGAACTTCCTCTAATTAGCATTTTTCAGACAGCCCGACTTGTGGCGTAGTCAAAGGGAAGAACTTTAGTTTGAACAAAAAATCGACCTGGTCGAAGTTCGGCGAAAAGGGGGTGGGGGGCGAAAAATTCCAAATCCCACCCATATTCTGTACCCTCTCGCGTTCGGTTTCTCATATAATTTCACAGCCAGAGATCAGGTTCTTCAGTCCCTAACACGCGATCAGATGTTGGTTCTGCATGATATTGAATTCCACATCTAGTATTAATGACATACATAGTGACAGTAAATTTGCTTGTTTTTGTGTCCAAGAAGCATTATTATAAACATCAGGTACAAAAGAGGAAGAAATATCATATCACAAGTTGTAGGTCTACAAAGTAAGATTTATTAATTCATAAATGAAACCTGAATTCTGACTAATGTTGTTTTAAGAGGTTCCAAGAAAGAAGAGAACACTATGTATTTAAGTGCCTATTTATCTAAATTATATATCTATATCTATATCTAGTCATATCACTGTTTCACGTGTTTTTTGTGAGAGCAGAAATCCTGCTTTGTTGTAAAATGAAGTGATGAAAAATAACCATGATTTCAGAAACAGAAACACATACATGATGTACTTATATACTAACAGTAATGCCATGGTAGTTCCCCGAAACCCATTCATACAAAGTCAGTTGTGTTTGTCACCCAAGAAAAGACATCAAAGAACAGGTGGAAAGCATTGTGGTCAGCCTCAGACCAAGAAGCAACAAGAAAGTGGACATTTTTGTTTGCGTATCTTCTTTCAAACTGTTCTTATTCTTGAACTGATATCCCGACATGTTTTTCTACTGAAGTAGAACTTTAAAGCATTTTATAAGGTCTTTGTTAGCACGTGGGCAGAACGTACTGCACCTGCGCGGAACCCGTAATGTATTGTATATAGCACTTTGGCAGAATGTCTCATATAAGGTCGTATTCGCTCATATAAGGTTAGCATTTCAACAGTAGTTTCCAAATGTTGTGTCTGAAAAGATATCCTCTGCAACAGTGAAAATTCTGATGCAATGTTGACCAAAAAGCCAACCAAAAACGCGAAAATCCAGGGTTCTGCGCAGGCGCAGTACGTTCTACCGACGTGCTGTCTTTGTTATTGTTGACTAAGAAGAATGGTGTTACATGTACGTGTACTTGTGTACATGTTTGTTTGTCTGAAGAGACAAATAAACAATGTTTTGTGTTAGATTGTGGAGGTGGTCTTGTGGTTAGGGTAGTATCTGCTAATACTGTAATAGAAGGTTCTGGGTTCGAACCCCTGGCAGGTACCAATGCTGTGCCCTTGGGAAAGGCACTTTACAGTTGAAACCTATTTCCTCACTTGAGTGAGGTGAAAATGAGGACCTAGCTTCCCAGGTTGGGTTATCTTCTCAGATGGGATGTAAAGTCGGAGTTCCCATTTTGAGGAGAGCCACACCTCGAGCACATTAAAGAACCCATCGAAAAAAGAACTTATCAAAAAAAGTAGTTTTTTTTCTGGTGTGACTGTGAGTGGTTCAAAAGTTGTTAACTCAAGGCTATAGGGCTGATATCAATTAGGATTTTACCATGGTTTTAATAATATTGACTGGAAGGGGACATATATATGGTTCAAACCTTACAGCCAAGTCTTATGCAGCTTGTACAAAACTGATGTGTTATTCCTAAACACAGTTTACTGGTTATGCAAAACAAACAAACAGACAAACATGTGTACAACAAAGTAGTATAGATTTAATTGTTTAATGGTGTAGAGCTTTTGACGTCGAACGTAGCTATGCATGGTGGCAAGCACTGAACCGAAAAGACTAGTTGTATCGATATTAATTATGCAACCTTATATTATACTTTATAGTCAGATGTTCTTTCCTTTGAAACTGAAAGTGGAATGAACTCAAAGGTCAACTTAAGGTTCCAATACAAACCTGTGAAAACAATTTTGATAGGTACAAAAGTTCAAAATGAGCAGTTGTTTCACTTTCAGTTTTAAACTCTTGGCCTAGTATACAGAAAAAATACTCGAAATACCACTTGCATACTCTATGCAGGTTAGTGCAGGTAAAAATGGAGCTGTTCAGGTACTAGTGGTACTGGGTTTACAGTGTATATACAAATGTATGTGGTATGTGGATTTTTATTTGCTACATTGACTGTTAAAACCTATGCAGTATGAGATGAAAATAACAGTAATGGTTTCTGAACAGTTTTAATTATGATCCATACTTCTCAAAGCCTGAATGGTGCAGGTGAAATGTCTGTTGCAGGCAAATTTCAATTTTATCTAAAACTGCAGGTTTGTAGAAAAAAGGATTTCAAGCCTGAATTAATGTGTAAAGTAGGTAATGTTTAATATTAGGGTAGCCTTTGAATACAAATATTTATTGAAATCTTAAATTGTACTTTTTTGGTTGAAATGTTGTGCTTGTTATTTTTTGGGGTTTGAATGTTTATCTATATATGACGTTTTTTTAAAACATGTTTACATTGTAAGTTTGTTATTGTTGGTTTGGATCATGTTTGGGTATGGTTTGTTATTGGTCAGTGGTTGTTGTTATTTACATACATGTGCCTAGTCAGATGGTCTGGGTTGCCCCCCCCTGCAGTTCCAAATTCCTAGAGGATGAGGTCAACTGTTCATAATCCTGTTGCTAGGCAACCAACAGTCTCTCAGAACCATGATGCAGTGAGCAGACTGTGCACTTGCGAAAAATTGCAATGATGAAAAAATAAGCAATAAATTTTGAATACTTGTTTTAGTATCTTTCTGAATAGCCATTGTGTTTCATTATGTTGTATTTTTGTCTAGTCCTAAAATGTATCTGCCTGGCTAAACTATAAACTGAAAGTGAAAATTAAACTTCTCATTTAAGACTTTGAAGATGTCTTTTCGAGATAAATGTACAACAGTTTCTTTAGATGTTCATAACCAAAGTTGCCAGTTTATACTGAAAATAAAACTACATCATACAGAAAATTACATGTAGTTTATTTGCATTTACTCATAGCCTTGAAAAAAACGTCATATGGTGTTGCCATGTTGATGATACAATGACAATGAAAATATTCAGTCAAGGAAATGAAATTTGTCTAGTGACTATTTCCTTGTTCAAACCTATTGTATGTATCCAAGCTGGAGCTAAAAGTAGCAAAACGTATAAATATCTTATTCTAAAGCACTTTTTTAAATTACAAATTCTGAATATAATTCTGGGGTCTGATTACATGCGTTTTATACTCTTTTTGCCATTTTGAGCTAAATGAGGAACATTTTAGGAATTTTATCAAAAATTATGTAATGTTTCAGCTTCTGAGCAAGGCATAGGTGGTTGTTGTACTTTTCCAAAGAAACATACTGTTAATTTTGGACAGTTCACAGAAGGTCCATCAGAATAATACATATTTATCATACTGTGATTAATGTACTGTAAACCTGTCCTATTGACACCCTTGTCTTGACTGGACTCCCCAGGGATAGCTAATGATCTTTGGAAATGCATAAATCAGCATTTATCCATCAGGGTAGGGTAGTTTGAAAGGACTGGGTTCATGCCTCTTGCATGTAAATACTATCTATCTGTTTGTAACACTTTAGTATACAGTGCAGGGCTTGAAATACTGGGTGCATGTGCACCTTAGTGCACCCAAATTTGGAGCTGTGCACCCAATTTTTTTCTGTGGGTGCACTGGTGCACCCAAATATTTTTGTTGGTATTTTTTGTACATTTTTTAAATAATAGTATGCAGGATATTCTTGGCATCTAAGCATCAGGAAAATAATAAAATCTTTTATTGTAGTTCTTGTGTAAGATTTTGACGTTAGCTCCCATTTCAGATTCAAGCTTAGAAGAGGTGCATAAAGATCTGGGAATTATGTTTTGTTTTATATGGTGCACCCCAAAAAAAAATTTGTGCACCTAATTTTTCAGGTTGGGTGCAGCAGTGCACCTATTCCCAAAAATGAATTTCGAGCCCTGTAGTGAATTTGTTCACAGTCAGTGTAAGGGTCAGGTACAGAAGGACAACTCTCCGTGTTCAGTCCAAAAGACATTGCCACAGTAGGGGGTCTGGTATTCTCCCCCAAAAATGGTTAACTAAACTTGTAAGTCTGTGATAATATTTCCTGCCTACAGATGGACAAAGTCCTTGTTTATAGCTTTTTTTTTGCCAATTTTATTTTACTTTTGGTTCCATCAGTCTCCCCAAAAAGAAACACCCCTACATTGTTTGAAAGACAGTGTAGGGGGCTAAACCACAGTATAGGGGGCCCAAATCAAGGCGTAGGGGGCCCCTACACTCCAACAGCCTGGTGGGGGTACTGTGCTCATGTATGTCCCTGACAGGACTGCCTGACTGCTCACAAACATAATTTCAGACCATGTTTGAATGGAAATTGTGTTCCCACTGCCAGACTAACTAGATTTACTGCGCTGCAGTCCAAGGTTATCCCTGTAGTTATCTCTCCCAAGGTCGCGCAGCGATAAATTCCACCCTGGGGGCTGCAGATTTTGTCGCTTTATCCCGACTTTGTCCTTTCTTGGTTTTATTAGTATGGTCGGCATTGGTCGCATTTGTCATTTTGGATGGTGGCATTAGTTGGTTGTGTGTGTGTGTGCGGGGGAGGTCAGCCATTACCATTAAAGGCACCTAAAGCAAGTTCAGGGCATTAAAACTGGATTGTCAAAGTCATTTTTTTTAATGTAG